TAAAGTCTTTTGTCTTCATTCATTTAAAAACGATATTCATCGCGGTTTTCAATTAACTTTGAACATTGTAGTTTAGAAATAAAACTAACATTCGAAAATTTTTGTATGTAGACATCATAATGTACGATATTGTAAAAAAAAGTTAATTTACAGTTTTGCCGAAACCTATTTGTGGTTCTCCTAAATTATTATGAGGTAACATGTTAAGTTGATCTAGAAGGTTTTCCCTCTCTCGTAAACAGGCCCATGCCTTTTCTTGTTCTTTCTTTGTTAATGGCACTTTCCTTTGTTTTGATAACATTAATTTTTTGTAATGCTCTATCACCTCACCATCTGCTGTACTAATTTTTCTTTTTAATGCTTGACGTTTACTCTCTTCTTGTGCCAAATTCAGCAGTCTTTTCAATTGCATTACATTATGATTAGAAAGTGCAGTAAGTTCTTGCTGACATCTTTTAATTTCCATCAAAATTTCGTCGTCGTCTTGTCCTTTCTTCTGTGCATCTGGCTCTAATATTCCTTGTTCAACGAGTTCTTTGTGCATTCTTAATTCTAAATTAATGGAGTTTTGAATAGTAAGGTCTCTTAAAACAGGGGGGTCACTATCCCTGAAAAGTTTATTATCTGTATTGTTATTTGCGACATACACATTTTCTTCTAATAAAGCAGAGACTAATCTCTGTGTAAGAGGTCCTGCTATACTGTGTGCTTTTTTATCATTTTTCCCAACTAACAGAGATACATCGGAACGACTTTTCTTTTTGTCTCTATTAGGATTGGCTGCATCCTCTTCTTGCAGCAAATCATTATGAGCCCATATTAGACTATAGTGTCGACCTAATGGAGGAATTTTTTTAAACTCACTGATATCATTGTGTGTAGTAATTAATTCTTCCAATAACTTTATGTCATCGGGCATAATATCTGTACAGTATGGGTCAACAGATGCCCAAAATTTGTTTGGAGTATCATTTTTTGGTAGAAGTAACTTTGGCGATTCAGATTTTGAACCTTCAATTCTAGACATTTCATGGACATTTGGAATGACCTGAGAATTTGAACTAGTTACAGCTTTTTGTTTAAACAACTTTGCTGGTAAAGGCGATTGAGTTTTAGTGTTAAGTTCCTTTGGTTTAAACTTTTCTTCTCTAACTTTCTTGTCCAGAAGGGAAAGACCTTTACCACTCTTGGATCTTCTGTCCCTGCGTTCTTCTGCTGATGATAAGTTCGCTATCTCCTCTTGAATCATACGATGTCGTACAACAACAGATGATAGAAGCATTTCTAATTCTAATTGTAGTGTATCAAGGTCTTCCATTCCAACACCTTCTTCTATATTGCGTTGTAGAATACTAGTATATCTTGGAAGAACACGACTGTTGTCAATAATTTTTAAAACAGACAGAGACATAGTTGTCTCCATGTTTTCCGAGCTTGTGTCAGAATTAAGCGTTGAAGATTGAACAGTTTTTCCACTTTCCCTGACTTTGACGACAGCTTTCTTAGAACTTTGCTTGCCTTTACCAGACATGGTGGTAAATGTAATATAACAAGTAAATGTTGTGGTGATAATCACGTTGTTACTATACTAAGAAATATTCATTTTTAAATGATTTCGTTATATTGCCACATTTTTTTTCCATTTTCATACTCAGTTCAATTACTTCTTTTATGTCATCGATTTTTCAATTCGACATCTATCGAGAATTTCAGCGTCACCTCGACGAATTTAATTGTCATTCAGGTTTAAGTTGTTATTTTCTATTTATCCATAATTTGTTGTCTGAAAACGTCGTCCAGTATTATAGGTTATGAAATATCCACAATCAATTTCAACAATGTTTGCTTTCTTCAACTGAGTCAACAATATACAAAATGGATCGATCAATTTTCACCCAATTAAAATCAATCGGATAAAATATGGTGTTATTTTTATAAGTTTATCAGCAAAATATTGTTTATTCTACTAAAAACCCATATGAAAGCGCGATGGGGACTGATGGTGTCATCTAACGGTAAAGTCACCAAAACAGTTAACAGGAAAATATGTATACGGTAGTACCTCACTTAGCGAGCAATTCTGCTTCACATAGTAAATATTTTTATCCCCACCATTTTAGAAAGAGAACGGGAAATGATCGAGAGAGACAGAATGAAACCAGCGGGTTCTATACATGAGTATTGCGCGGACGAGAAACGTAGGCCGTCTCGCTTTATCGTGCTTGCGTTCTCACTCTTTTCACGCATCCATATGCCTGGTGCTCCATCTAAAACACGTGATGCGATAAATTCGACTTGCACTTTTCGCCCTATTGATTTTCACTACAGCTACTATGAAGTTCTTGTAGAGTTTCACTCTCTGATCAAATATCCGAAAAATGAATTGCTCTACCTTCTTCAGTTTTCGAAAAAAAACGAGTTTGTGTAAAAACCCAGAATTTTCAACGAAAATGAGGTATTACATGAAAAGTAAAAACATTAGAAAGTTCTAGTAATCCATCTGAAAGCATAGAAGAGAGTTTTCCGAATGTAGTGGTATACAATTTGTTAATTGTTTTTAGTCCCAAATATCTATAAATTAATGCCAAAGTTTAAAAAAGTGTCGACGGGTGTAGTTTCTCCGCGATATTTTTGTATTTTTACAAAAAGTTCTTTGTCCAGCACGAAAACTCTACACATGATCGGATTTTGTAGACATTTCTGAAGAATAAACGACTTAATAGAAGTGTCGGTACGATTTACATTTCGAGCAGGTAAAGAAAATGCTTCCCAAGCGTCAAGGACAGGTCGTAAAAGTGAAAGGGACAAAGGGTAGCGGACTCGCAACGTGGGAGAGAAGACAGGTCATAAAGACGAATCGTAGAATTGATGAAAGGTCCAGATCCTGGTTTTTTTCTTTTGAAAGCCCTCATTGGCGAAGACACTGCAATGTTAAAATTTCAGAAAACGCGTGAATGAGGCCTTTCAAGCTCGAACATCTCCCGTTTTCTTTTTAAAGCAACTGCGCGAACTTGGATGCGCAGTAAAATGGTGGAGATAAAAATGCTTACTATGGTGAAGCAGAATTGCTCACTTCCAATTTCAGTACAACAATCGATAGAATCATTCTCAATACGATATGGTTAACAGCGTTAGTAATGCTGCGTTACTGTAGTCACGTGTATTATAGTTGAAGGCGTCTCCGCAATCTTGTGGCATGTTAGAACTGTTTACATACTTCAATTTTGTATTCCGGAGACGTTTCTATCTCGCGTAAGTAATTAAACATGGATGAAGTTGCGAAACTCGAACACTTGTCTTCTGTCTCAAAAATTTGCACAGAATTGGAGAATCATTTGGGACTGAATGATAAGGACTTGGGTGAGTAATGAAATCATTTTATTCCGACAATTAATCATTGAAATAGTCCTACGATTTCATGATATTTTGTTCATTTTACAGCTGAGTTCATTATTCATTTAGCAGAGAAAAATAGCACCTTTGACAAATTTAAAAAGGTTCTCCTAGAAAATGGAGCAGAATTCTCAGTAAGTAATTTATAAAACTGTATTTACAACTTTTCTTAATTTTACACATTGTAATGTATCATTCTTTCGTTAGGAATCATTCATGGCCAATCTCTTGAGGATAATACAGCACATGAAACCCTCTAAACCAACACCGGACAAATCTGCATTGTCTGCCATCAAACAAGATGAATTAGCCCAAAAATTCCCTGGCTTAGCTTTGCCAAATGAGGAGCCAAAGGTAACAGATATTAAGGACCTCAAGGATGATGACATAGTCAACAATGCAATGGCAAGCTTGGAAGAATTGGCACCGTCTCACAAGAAGCCTAGCAATGAAAATAAAAAGGAGAGTGAGCCATTAGAGACTGACAAAAAGATCAAACACTCCAGAAGGAGTAGATCTAAAGACAGAAAAAGACACAGATCGCGTTCGTCCAATCGCAAAGAGAAAAGGCATAGATCACGGTCCCATTCTAGATCACGTGGTCGTTCGAGATCTAGGGACAGAAAGAGGCGAAGGTCGAAAGATCGTAGAAGATCGAGATCACGAGACAGAAAATCCCGCGATCACAAAGACCGACATTCTGGTAGACATTCTTCATTTAGAAATGGATCAGATAGATCCCGATCGAGATCCGTCGAGGAAATGTCTATGGACCCAGAAGTTGGGAAGATTTACTCTGGGAAGGTCGCCAATATTGTCCCTTTTGGCTGCTTTGTGCAACTGGAAGGCTTGAAACGCAGGTGGGAGGGACTTGTTCATATTTCCCAACTACGAAGAGAAGGAAGAGTTGCCAGTGCCAGTGACGTAGTTTCTAGGAGCCAGAAAGTCCTGGTGAAGGTTCTCAATATTGGTGGACAAAAGGTACCAGCCATTTTACGTCCATTTTAGGTTCGAATGTCTTGCAACCTTAACTAGACGTCCTTAAGACGTTTTAAAAACGTTCCGAAACGTTGTTTCGACGTCTGAGATTTACGTCTTGAACGTTGTTTCCACGTTTGAAGTTTACGTCTTTAAAACGTTTTAAAGACGTCCCGAAGTAGACGTTTCAAGAGACCAGTTTTATATTAATTCTATTCTTATATTCTTTTTGTTAAATTTCTTTGACTAAAATGTGATGGTTTCAGGTTTCTTTAAGCATGAAGGACGTCGATCAAGAAACCGGTAGAGATATGAACCCAGTGGTGGCTGTCGCTAAGACTGAGGAAGACGAGAAGCATTTGCGCAATCCCGATAGACCAACTTCGTTGCTGGAACTGCAGGGCAACTGGGACGAGGACGAGACTTGTTCCAGGAAGCGTGTGCAGAGGCTGTCATCTCCTGAGAAGTGGGAGATAAAACAGATGCTTGCTGCGTCTTGCGTCGACAGGAACGAGTTGCCAGAGTTCGATATGGAAACTGGAATTCTTCCACGCGAGGACGATGAGGAAGAGGACGTGGAAATCGAGCTAGTGGAAGAGGAACCGCCATTTCTGCATGGCCACGGCCGGGCTCTTGGAGATCTAAGTCCTGTTCGCATTGTTAAAAATCCTGATGGTTCTTTGGCGCAAGCTGCAATGATGCAAAGTGCTCTGGCGAAAGAGAGGAGGGAACAGAAAATGCTGCAGAGAGAGCAAGAAATGGACTCTGTGCCGACAGGCCTCAATAAGAACTGGATTGACCCTTTGCCAGAAGCTGAGAGCAGGACTCTGGTAGCGAATATGCGAGGAATTGGTTTGCAGACCCAGGACCTTCCTGAATGGAAGAAGCACGTGATAGGCGGCAAGAAGTCGTCTTTTGGAAAGAAAACGAATCTAACTTTGTTAGAGCAGCGCCAGAGCCTGCCGATATACAAGCTCAGAGACGATCTAGTAAAGGCAGTCACTGATAATCAAATTTTGATAGTAATTGGCGAAACAGGCTCAGGAAAGACCACCCAAATCACACAGTACTTGGCCGAGGCTGGGTTCACTGCTCGTGGGAAGATTGGATGCACTCAACCCAGAAGAGTGGCTGCTATGTCAGTCGCCAAAAGAGTGGCTGAAGAATTTGGTTGCCGTTTGGGACAAGAAGTAGGCTACACAATTCGTTTCGAAGACTGTACCGGCCCGGAGACCAACATAAAGTACATGACTGATGGTATGCTGCTGCGTGAATGCCTTATGGACCTTGATCTGAAAACTTACTCCGTTATAATGTTGGACGAGGCGCATGAACGCACGATTCACACCGATGTCTTATTCGGTTTGCTTAAGCAGGCAGTAGGAAGAAGGCCAGACCTCAAGCTCATCGTCACGAGTGCCACTCTGGACGCTGTGAAATTCTCACAATACTTTTTCGAAGCTCCAATCTTCACTATTCCTGGCAGAACGTTTGAGGTAGAGGTGATGTACACGAAGGAACCGGAGACTGACTACCTGGATGCTGCGCTGATTACAGTGNGAAGAAGGCCAGACCTCAAGCTCATCGTCACGAGTGCCACTCTGGACGCTGTGAAATTCTCACAATACTTTTTCGAAGCTCCAATCTTCACTATTCCTGGCAGAACGTTTGAGGTAGAGGTGATGTACACGAAGGAACCGGAGACTGACTACCTGGATGCTGCGCTGATTACAGTGATGCAGATTCACTTGAGAGAGCCACCAGGCGACATATTACTTTTTCTAACTGGTCAGGAGGAGATCGATACAGCTTGCGAAATTTTGTACGAACGGATGAAGTCTCTGGGCCCTGATGTCCCAGAACTAATTATTTTGCCAGTGTATTCTGCGTTGCCTTCTGAGATGCAAACCAGGATATTCGAGCCAGCTCCGCCAGGTTCTAGGAAGGTGGTGATAGCGACGAACATAGCTGAGACCAGCTTGACTATAGATGGTATTTATTATGTAGTGGATCCTGGCTTCGTCAAACAAAAGGTATACAATTCAAAGACAGGAATGGACAGTCTGATAGTGACGCCGATCAGCCAAGCTGCTGCCAAGCAGAGAGCTGGAAGGGCTGGTAGAACTGGTCCAGGGAAATGTTATAGGCTCTATACTGAAAGAGCTTATAGAGATGAAATGCTGCCCACTCCAGTTCCGGAGATCCAGCGCACCAATTTAGCTACCACTGTATTGCAACTAAAGACCATGGGCATCAATGACCTATTGCACTTTGATTTCATGGATGCGCCGCCTGTAGAATCGCTTATCATGGCCTTGGAGTCCTTGCACAGTCTAAGTGCTTTAGATAACGAAGGTCTCTTGACGAGATTGGGTAGAAAAATGGCGGAGTTCCCGTTGGAGCCCAACTTATCAAAGATGTTGATCATGAGCGTACACCTACAATGTTCTGACGAGATATTAACAATTGTCAGCATGCTGTCTGTACAAAATGTGTTCTACAGGCCAAAGGATAAACAAGCATTAGCAGATCAAAAGAAAGCAAAGTTTAATCAGCCTGAAGGCGATCATTTAACTCTACTAGCGGTTTATAATTCTTGGAGGAATAATAAATTTAGCAACGCTTGGTGCTATGAGAATTTTGTACAAATTAGGACTTTGAAACGTGCACAAGATGTACGCAAACAGCTCTTGGGTATCATGGACAGGTAAGCAATTATATTTTCATTTTAATAATTTTGTGAAATAATACTAATTTATTATGTGTTATTTAATAGGCATAAGTTGGACGTTGTGTCTGCTGGGAAGAATACCGTGAGGATTCAGAAAGCTGTGTGCTCAGGTTTCTTCAGGAACGCTGCGAAAAAGGATCCTCAAGAAGGGTATAGAACACTGGTGGACAGCCAAGTTGTTTACATTCATCCGAGCAGTGCTTTGTTCAATAGGCAACCAGAATGGGTAGGCGAATCGAAAATAAAATTCTCTAATCATTTTGCAATGAGAAATTAATAATTTGTTTCGTCACAGGTCATTTATCACGAGTTGGTACAAACCACCAAAGAGTACATGAGAGAAGTGACCACCATAGATCCAAAATGGTTAGTGGAGTTTGCTCCAGCTTTCTTCAAGTTCAGCGACCCGACCAAACTGAGTAAATTCAAGAAGAATCAACGACTGGAGCCGCTTTACAATAAATACGAGGAACCTAACGCTTGGCGAATATCTAGAGTCCGTAGAAGACGTAATTAATATATTTATTATACAATCTGTAAATAATTTTGTACAGAGTTTCGTATCACATGTAATACGAACGAATGTAAATAACTTGTGAGAAGAACGTAAAATCGCAAATATAGTAATTTTGTAAGAACTTCATCTGGCCTTCTTCCTACCGTTTGCTTAAACAAACCGAATAAGACATCGGTGTGTATGTGTATATATATACATGTGCGCGCGCGCGTGTGTGTAATGATGCACAATACGTTTCACGGGAATATTTTAAAATTGAAATTACATTCCGTGTTAATTTTCACTTAGCTAATAGCAACGAAATTTTTCTCATAACATAACTTACTTTATAAGGGATGCTTGAAATAATCAATTGTATTTGCAACCTGTTAATTGTATGTAACAGTTTTTAGATTGATCTAATTTTAATAAGCATTCACATGTTATCAGAGTTATTGAATTCTTATGATGCATTTACAATTTATATAACCAAACCTTCAATTTTAGGCATCATCGTGACATTTAAAATTTCAATTTATGGTAAAGGATAAAAATGGACGGATATGATGTACGTATGATTAATCTTATTTGATATAAAGTATTAATAAAGCAAATTTTTCATAAATCTTGCTTATAGTAGTAATACATTTCTCATTTATGAAAGAAATTACGATAGGGTCATAGGTCAATGATATAAATTATGCAAAGGTGTGCAGTTGTGTTAAGAAACAGATTATAAATTATGGCTGAAAAAGGGGCGCATTTAACTGGAACCAATTTTATAAGACCTTCTATATTCGAAATTATAGCTCAAGAATCATTTGCATCAACTGTTCAACCGGCTTTCCAAAAACTTTTGTCGGTAGGTTATGTTCACTGTAGCTAATTGATCACTTTACTATTTCATAATTAGATTAATGATTCTGAATACAATTTTTTTCAGTTTATTCTATCATTTAATCCTGAACGATATGGGCATCTGCTCAAATGGGCAGATGAAGCCTACTTAATTTTTAATATAACTCTTCAAAGATATTATTTCAAAAAATATTGTAAGTAATCAATCTCTCTTATATCTTTAAATAACTTAATCAGTAATACTTATTATTATATAAGTATGAATTTTCAGCTGCTTCCTTTTCTGAAGCATTTTATGGCTTAAAACGCATAGCAATAGTAGATTCCATAATTAAACGCAAATTATCGAACAAACAAGAGAGACTATCTTTAATATTGATAGTTGTATTCCCATACTTGAAACAGAAGCTTCAACAAATAAGTCAGAGATATCAACTTGAAGAAATAGATGGTTGTGCTCCACAATCTGTAAATACTGACATTTATGGTAACAGCCACTATAATAAATACTTTCCAAGATTATAATTAATGTCTTGTTACAGAAATGGCAGAAACTATATCGTAATTGCGTTATTAAGGGATACACAATGAGTTTTATGACATATGAATTCATGGTATTGTACAATTATATACTTTATGTTGCTGGGAAATCAGTTTATCAATCACCACTTCTGAGACTTTTATCTATTACATTAACATATGCTGAACCAGTACCAGTACTTAGTATTTCTGATTTATTAAGGAAAATAAAGCACAATTCCTTTGGTATCAATGATAGTATAGATATACTTCAACGAACAGTAACTACATCTTTAGAATTTGGGGCATTTTTCCTTCAATTTGTATCATGGTGGACTCAAGAACATTATGAGAAAAGTATTATGACCTTACCTCTCCCACCATCGCCAAAGGTGAGAATTATTATGAACATTTTATTACAAATCTATAGAAATCTTCATAAATTGATAGTAATACTGATTGCTATTAGATTCCAGAAATGGCTAAACAATATAAAGGGAAATGTCCCATTTGTTGTAAAGCACTAAAGGTACCCATGGTACTTTCTGTTTCTGGGTATGTATAAAAAGTAATGTTGAATATATAAGTATAAATATAAGTAAAAAATTATATTCTATAATTATTTGATTTTACAGATATGTATACTGCTATCAATGTATTCTTCCTGTAATACGTGAAACTAAAAAGTGTCCAGTAACAAATTATCCTGCCCAGGAGGACGATTTAATACGTTTGTACTTAGATTAAGTAATGTATATATATTTTATGTACAGTGTAAATAAAAATTAAAAAAATTTGCTCATTCTTAAAACATTTCTCAATTAATTTATGGAGGAGAGTAAAATTGATCAACATCATGAAAATATTGTTATATTTATTGCGTATTATAATGTAAAGTTTAATATTAATCTGGATTCTAAGGAAGAAAACATGGCATCGATTATAAAGTACACTAATTAACTTAAAGCAGTTGTGAATTACATTTACAGGTACATTCAACTATCTCACAGAAAATACTGATTATGGCCGAAGCACTTTTCGATTAGCATCCAATACACTCGCGTACGTGAATCACAGACAACGGCGCCAGAAATTCCAGCTATCGAATCCAATTGAACATTCGCACCACATTTTTGGTCAAGATTCTTACGCAACATAATTATACCCAGTACTGAATACTAAAAATTCAACGTTCTCTAGAATCTAGGAAGCAGATGGTTTGTAACATTAAAAGAGCTACGTTGAAAAAAGTCTAACAATTTGTTTACATTATCGTCATATGATTAAATAATTAGTGTTCGGGTAACAATTACATAAGTACATGCATTGTTTTGTATAAAAGGCACTTTTATATTGATTTAAACAACAAACATTCCAAAGTATGGACAATCAAAGATTCTCACACATAAGTTACGTTATTACAAAGTATTGCTTTTCTAATTAACTGAATTATTTAATTAAATTGATGTAATA